TGCTCCGGCCTTGGTTTTAAATACTAAGAGAAACCATCTCTCATTGAGACAGATCAGAGAGATTAGCTGCAAGTTCAGAGAGAAGGAGCAAAGTCCACCTGTATCTTCCATGCAAGAAAAGAATGAGGAATTTGCAACTTCCCTTACCTCAATCTCATCAGTCTCCCCCAAATGGCATAAAATATGCATTTTCTTTTTGTATGTCTAATAGCTTTTTATTTCTTAAGTTTATAAGCTTGTAAGGTGCAAAGGAGAAGTGACATTTTGTCACAGACATAAATAACAACAAAAATATATAAAATAAAGAAGAACAGTTTCATCCTTGGTATTTTTAAATCACTGCCATAAAGTCTTGCTCTGTTTGCAACAAGAGAAGAAGAGAGAAATACAGTTGCTAAGTGTGACATTTACCATAATAGCAAAACTGCTATCGGGGTATTTGTCCTTATTCACCAGATACAACAATACACTCTGTTACTTACAACTGAAAAGACAAATCCTAAGCCATCAATAATGATCCAGGGGAGAAGCCACTCTCTTGACAACTTCCTGCTGTCCTACTGTGCCCCAGACTAGCATATGCTCCAGCCAGACATCAATCATATGAGCAAAGTCAATTAGAATAATAGGTATTTTAACATTTTCCATTACAACACATAAGAATACCAAGTAGTTTGATTAAATTCTTTGTGGTTTTTCTTTGTTAGTACTTGGCAGAAGTATGGTGGGTTTTTACCTGAAAATTTCTGTATAAGCATCTGATTGTTGGTCAGAATGAATCTCGTCCTCAAGTTCAGCTTTTATTGCTCCCCCATAAAAGCACGCTATCATTTGCTGTTCAGGTTGAAGAGAATCTGTGCATTATACAGCAGTCTGTACAAAATGACAGCGCTTTATTTAATAGGCTATAGCAGCATATAAAGTTGAAGGTCCCTTGGATGCATAGATGAGCTATTAAATGTTATGCCTTTGCCATTATCTAATCATTTTCACAAAGGATATCTTTTAATCTCTGTTCAGTTATCAATATCAGCATCCTCTTACCATCTGTCTTTTGGATATGCCATTCAGTGCAAGTGTCTGCTTGGTGCTACTCAGCCTCCGGAAGAATGAATGCTTAAACTCTCTCATCCACTTTTACCCAATTTGAAGTAGTGGGGAGCATTACACAGTGCCAGTACATTGATGTGTGTTTTGAGCTAGGTCTCTCTAGCAACTATAACAATTAATTGCTTTTAAATTACTTTCATTTTAACATACAAGTCTAAATCAGAGCTAATCAGATTAATTATTGGCTATAATTCACCAGAAAAAAATAATCAAGTCACAAAGTAAAGGAAGTAAAGAACAGAGATGCCTCAGCTATAGTAACATAGGCCCTACATCCTTCCTCCTCACTTACACAAGTGTGGTCAGTAATGACTGAAGATCTGACATTTGCTCATGTGAAGTGAGCTCTTGGATCACTTCTCCTAGGACAGCTGTGAATTGTATCTTAAAGACAGAAACTTGGTAAGCAACATAGTGCTGTGTCTCAGAAGTAGACATCCTTTACCATGAGAGTGATTTTATTTGATTGTATTCATATCAGAGTTCCTCTGAAGGGCCCCTTACTGAGTAACGTCTGACCTGTTGGCAGCTTGTTGCTGAAGTCACTAAGAGTGTATCTGTCAGGGGCTTCAGATCCCATTCACGCTACTGTAGACCTCTCCATAGCTAGTGCAGGGAGAGCTCTAGGAGTACTAGGTGTTGAGAGTAAAAATACTCTCATCACTGTCACATCATCTGTTGTTTCTCCTTTACAGCCAGGACTTCTGCAAGCTCAGCTCAGGGTGCCGGATTTGTCTGTACAGAGCATTAGCACTGTAGCCTGGGCTCATCTTCCTCAGGTTTATGTATGCTGTTACCAGCCCTGTTTTATTATTTGGGCACTGAGGAAGACAGCACTAAGGGCCAGACTCATAAAATATTCAGGCATCCAACTTCCACAGAGAATAAATAGAGGACTTGGGTATCTCTGTACTTTTGTGGATCTTGACCTGAATGACTTGTCATAGGACAAGTCATCATCATCAGTAATTAAAGGGGGAGGCCTCAAGTCCTGGGTCAGTGCCCCTTTTGTTTGATTTAAATTTATTTTCCGCCAGCCCTGTATTGTGTTCTGACTGATTGGTTTCAAATTTTGGAACTTTTTGAATTGATATGTAGCTCTGGTATTTGGGAAATTTTGTTTGATCATATAGCACATTTTAACTGACTTCTATGATCCTTGACAGACTTGAATTTCTGAGGAAAAGGCAGAAGACCCTATCAGACAATTAATTGTTCAGTAAAAATCCTTCTGCTGTCTTTTACTGATGTCAAGATAAAGGAAATCTTGTTTCAGCAGCTTTTTCGTGAAATCTTGGTTGGCGTAGTTTTTCCAAAGTATTGCCAAGCTCATTACCCCAGCCCACCTCAGTGTTTGTTGTTTAATTGGATGAACAGTCCTTGTAAAAGTCAGGTAACAACTTACACTTTGGGGGAACCATTTTCTGTCAAGATACGAAAAACATTGCAAGTCCTAGTTAGCTTTTCTGACAGGGTTTTATCTTTTCAGCTATGTTTAGAAATTTCTAATTGATCGTCCATGAGGAGGACTGCTGTACTTCACAGGTCACTGAAAACAATGGCTGAGCCATCAAGCTGTCTATTTGTAAAGGTTATAGATGTCTTTTTTTTCCCCCAAGTTGCCAATTGTGTTTAAACAGCCCTTGACAGTACCTTTAACCAAGCAATGAACTGATAGATTTGCAAACAGAGAACCTTTGATTTTAGAATTAAATAAATCTCAATTATGTTTTCTTAATCCACATGCTGCATTAGTTAGCTTCAGTACCTGAGTTCCTTCTTTATAATTTTATTTTTAAAATCTTTAAAAGTTAGAGACTAGTTGAAATAGAATTGACTTGACTTAGCGTAGACTGAAGTGATTCTCAAAATTAATACACGTGAATTAACATACATACTTTAAATTATCATATTGAATGTCCTTAGATATAAATTAGTTTCTTCTGTGTTGACTATAAAAGAGGCTAAATTGCACATTTCTAAGTAATTTTTTAAAAATTATGTGAAAACACAAATTAATTCAGAAAGGAAAGGCATAACTCATTTTATTAAAAAAGCTGCTGAATTGCTAAGTCTTAAAAACTCATTATTTTTGAGCTGTGATGGCCTTTGGAAAATTTCAGCATCAGAAGAATTTGACTTAAACTTACGAACAACTGAAGAAGGGGGGGATAGAGGAAAGGAAGTAATTGAAATGTGGTTTAGTTACCCACAGTACAAGCAATACTACAGGATCAGCCGTGCTGCTTGCGTTTGGCTGGGGACGAGAATGTATCTCTGTCTGCAGGTGTGTATGTACAAACACCCACAGCCATACACACACTCACACACTTTTTATGACTAGTCTTGAAAGCAGTCAGCCAGTTATGAATTTCCCTTGGCTATTTCCTCATTGTCAGCCTCTTCACTAAGACAGTTTTAATTGTATATGTATATATCTTTAGTTGAAATGTTAGTTGGGAGTCTCAAGCCTACCAAATGGCACACCAGCTGCACGCTTTGCTCAGTAGAATTTACAGGCTGAATGACAATCTCAAGGTAGAAAGAGAAACTAAATCAAAGCTAAGTTGACACTAAAGATGGGATCTTTTCTGAGAAAATGGGCTTACCTTCAGGCATATGGAAGACAACAAAGCCGGTCCTTGATTCCCCTTTGGATAAGGGATGCTTAAAGAGAAAGGCGCATTGTTTAAATCTCTCACCCATCTGATAGTAGCATTAGCAATTGAATTGGAACAAAGATATTAACCTTTGATCTGAGGTTATTTCTCTCAGTGTAGCTCATTATTACAAGAAAAAATGATGGTAATAAATAACAAAGAGAAATGCTGCGCAAGTGAAAGTTATTGTCTGCAATATATATTGGCAGAATTTACAGACCCCTGCCAGGACAGGGAATAACAAAGGTTAAAAGATAATGTAATAAAAATAAAAAGGAGGCAGAGTAAATTTCCTTGCCATTGAGTCATTACATTTTCGTCCCTGTTCCCCAATGTTAAAATATTCAACAGATGTAGTTTAATAAAAGGTCAGCTGATTAATCACATATGCAATAATATATAGAGAAAAGATACAAAACTATTTTGGGCCTGATCTTGCAAGCGTTATGATACCAGTAGTCTCTGCAAGAATAACAGGAGTGAATCCTTCCTATGTTATTCTTAATAGAAAGCACACTTCACTGCATTCGTAACTATGGTAGCTTTAAATTATAGCATGGCATTTTGATTGTAATGGCAAAAAACCCCCCCATTTAGTGATTATAAGAAGGGCTCTTATGCACTTAGTGCACTGTTCTGAACATAAATAACTGTAAGCTGTGCCAAGAGGGTATTATTCAGAATCATTAATGTCATACACCTTGACTTTTCCAACTTTGTTTTCAGGTGGATATGTTGCTAACAGTCTAGCAATTATGACAGATGCACTTCATATGTTAACTGACCTTAGCGGTATTATTTTGACCCTGCTTGCTCTCTGGCTGTCTGCAAAATCTCCCACAAAGAGGTTCACTTTTGGATTTCATCGCTTTGGTATGTAGATATCAATTTTTGCTATTAACAGAGTATTTTAAGCAACAACTGTAAAGATCATCTAATTCTAGAAGAATAGCTAGAAGTAAAGTAGCAACAAATCTAAAAGTTGCTTTATGCTGTTAACATCCTGACTCGAATATTCTTTCACTGGCCATTGTGGATCCACTACATAGGTTGTATTGCCATAGAGGAATAAATGAACAAAAAAATATATTTAAATTTTAGACCTCAGCCAAAACTGAAGGTTGATGGCAGAGTTTCACTCACTGGGAGCAGGACAAGTCTCTCCATTTCTGTGGAACTTACGATATACAGAGTTAAATTACAAATGATTGATTCTTCTTCCATCTTAAAGAGGAAGGTTGAGGATTTGGCTACACAATGACATCGTAAATATGACTTCCTACAAATGAACCATGGCCTAAAAAGTTTAAAAAGGGTTCAGAGGAGGGAAGCTGTCCCCAGCAAGAACAAGAGTGGATACGCAGCTGTGTTTCACAGCCCATCCATAGTTACTGGGCTGTTGCTTTGGTCAGGCCCCTGCACACCTTTGTGCTTTGGAATTGAGGCTGTTGAGCAAAAGAAGGACATTAACTCTTTGGTCGCTCCCTGCTGTACCACTGTTACTGCTTGTGTGACACACTGAAGAGCTTGTTGGTGCAGAAGTGATACATGTCAGTCAGTTGTTCACAACAGATTATTGCTAGTGCCCAGGATTTACTAAGTCTCACTGACTTCAGTAGAATTATGACAGTGGAAAAGGGTCCTATTCAATGTGAAAAATGACATCTTAATCCAGAACTAAAAAGTTTTGCAGGGCACGCTATCAGAGAGCTCTGCCCTGCCAGAAGCCGCAGAAATCAGTATTCCTCTTGCACTCCCCATACTACACAAAGCAGAGGTAAAAGTGTCCCATGGTTTGCAATACAGTAAGTTACTTTACTTCTGCCCATTTTAGGTGTCTGTAAAAAGAAGTATAAACAGAATTATGTACTAAATCTTGGAAGGGTATTTTCAAGATTCATTACTTCATGTTTGGAAATGTAATGATGATAAAAGGTGTTTTCGTGTGGTTGCTAACTGGATGTAATAATTCATAATATATAGCTGCAGGTCTTGTAGACATTTTACCAAAAGCTTCAACCTTTATTTCTCATGAAATAGATCACTTCTAGTGTCAAGTTTGCTATCTCTGCTCTATATATTCTACAGTGTATATTTTTCAAGGAATTTGAAAAAGTCTTGTCTAATCATTATTTGCAATTCTTATTTTTGGCTGCTAGAACAGCAGTAGAATTTAACAACTCCATCACTCCTAGTCATTTGTCATCAGTTAGTCACTAATGCATGAATGCATAACTCTGTACACTAGCAAAGATCTTTAGGGCTTTAGCAAGAAAGCCTTAACAATGCCAGCATTTCCCATTACAAACTTTTCTTTCAAGAACTTTTAATTTTGCGATAGGAGCTCACCTAATACTGAAACCTGACCTTGCAGGTATGCCCCTAGCATTTGCTCATACTCTCCAGAAGGATGTTTGCTAGCATTTATACATACTTTAAACCTATTAAAAAATAATTTGAGTAGGTTATGTGTCTTTGTAACTTTTCTAAATCCAAATAGTACATCCATTGAACATGCCATGGCCTAGCTTAAAACAGGAGTTAAGAAAAATAAATTTACTTAACCATTAAAATCTTACTCAGTTCTGTAAGTTTTCCTGACTCTTCAATTAATTTGAGGGCTTCATAGCACTTTGCAAACAGAAATCCCTGAGGATTCCTGCCACCTCACTTGCTGTATATATATATATTTTTTTTTTTCCATTTTGCAGCCAAGAAAAATACTGGCTAGACTGATCCAATGGCAGCCCGTGGGACAGATCTGGCCCATAGAATTAGTCCATATGACCCGCCATCTTCTCCCTGGGAGAAGCTACAGGGAGCAGCTTCTCAGTTCTGCAACAATCACTCCTTTTCTGCTGCCCAGGTGGTCAAACACCACAACAGGTTGCAGAGTCTCCACAGTTGGAAATACTCAAAACCCAACTGGACGCAGCTCTGAGCAACCTGCTGTAGTTGACCTGGCTTTGAGCAGGACTACGCAGTTTCCAGGGGTTCTTTTCTACCCCAGCCATTCTGCGTGAGTAGCAGCAGTGCAACTTTCTGTGAGAGGAAGAGGAGGACTATAGCCTGGGGGTGGGGAGAAGAGTTTCTGTGGCTGCAGTAAGGAAGGGGAAGTGGGTAAACATCCTGCATGAGACCCCCAAACCTTGACCTAGGCTCTGCAAATACAGAAGATGGGATAGTTCAAAATTACTATATGCAGTTTTTTTAAAGTCACATTTGCGACATTTATTTGCCTGATTTCAGGCACCCAGTCTGATCGCTGTGGCCTGAGGGCCCAGTTTCACACATCAGTGAATGCTGGCAATGGAACAAAGCTGCTTCTAGGGTATATCCTCACTGTAACACATTTTTCTAAATAACCTATATGTAAGAAGCTTGTCAGCAAATAATATGAGCTTAACAATAGCTTGCATTTCATGAGAGAGATGTTAAAACATGACCGAGCGTTAAAAATAGGGTACAGATTGAGCATTTGTCACAGAAAAAAGTGGAGTATTTGTTTAAAGCTAGGAACATGTGCAAGAACTCTCTCATCACCAACCTGCTTTGCATTAAGTTTTAAGATAATCTATACATGCAGTAAGCATGAAAACATTCTAATGAACAGTGTTTCTGGTGCTCATTATCACTTTTGTTTGCAGAACCATGAATTTTCAAACTCATTCCCATAAACATTGCATTGTAAAGACAACAGACCTATTAGTTGTCTTGTCAAATTCCAGAAGGAAATTAGCACTAGTTTTCATTTATTTGAATTATCTTTGAATACATAATATGTATGCTCCATCTTCAGTTTTCTTCCATTTTCTGTGGTGAAAAGGGAAGCTGACAGATTCAGAAATGAGTTAGAAAAGTGAAGACAAAATAATGGAAATTGCAGTCATGTCTAAAAAGGATTATATTCTTGAAGCCAAAAATACTTCTGTTTCACCACCAAGTGGAGATACCTCCTTCACAGCAAGACACTGGGCAGATTTAAGCATAGATACAGAACCTGGCATTTTTCCATTGCTGCAGACTCAATGTTAGTAATGACAGAATCAGTCAGTCCACTGAGACAGGGCATAGCTCATTTCACATGAAGTGAAAGATCTCAGCACAAATCTACAATGCTGACATGACAATGACTGTGAGAGAGAAAGTGCAAGGAAAACACGGGTTTCCATGGCAGAAAACGTAGGTTTAGATTGTAAAACCACAATACGTTATTTCTCTGGTAAATGCTAAAGTGCTACGGCTTCAAATTTTTTTTTAAAAAGCATTCTGGAAAACCTTCTAAGCAGTGTATTTTCTTTTTAAGGCTGTTGCCCTGAATAATCTGCCTGCTTTGTAAAGAACATTACCACTTGCATGGATATTTCCAGGATTTTCATGTTGCTCTGAAAATATCTGAGATTGTGACAGTTGCCTCTCAGAGCCTTGTTACTGCCTGGTTATGCTGGTACTCATCCAGGCATTGACACGCTACCGAACAGCTGAATGCGTTGGTGTGAGTTTCTTCTCCCATCATGATGTTAAAAATTCAGTGTATGGATCAAGTAATTTTGGTGATATTAAAATGGTTAGATAGCTGCATGTTTTTTACTGTCATATCTAATAAATAAAATTAAGGCAGTTCTGCATTAGAAATGACACCTTCTGCAGTAACCAAAGTCATACTACACGCTGACAGATTTAAAGCAGGGGGAGAAGTGAGGCAATTCTCAGATCAGTATTCTTAGAGCTATGGTACGGCCAAGAGCAGAACTTTGCCCTTACTGGGGAATAAATCAGGGCAACACGTGGAACAAGGGGGAAGAACAACCATTACAGTTTCAAGTAAATAAATTCCAACTCTGAATTCACACAGGAAGGCTAAGATCTCAGTGATCCATCTGGCAAGATGACGGCAATGAGCATTACACATAATCATTACAGATTACGCAGGCATGGCTGTGGATTTACACGCAATACAATGTAGCATTAAGGTTTTCTCCAGTGCTTTTTGTACAGCCCTGTATTAACTTACTTATAACCAAGCCAGTGTTTTCTCTGTCACGTATCTTGCCTCTTCCCCTCTCTGCCCCCCTCCTTTTTTTTTTAAGTTTCAGCTGCAACAGGGCAATCATTTTCAGAATATGAAGCTAGAGGGTAAAAGTATGTTTATGTTAAAAGGAATTTAGTAACCCATTTGAACATACCTGTATTCTTTATAGTAGGACCTGCAAACTGTAGCGTGGACTCATCCTCCTCAGGTTTATGTATACTATTACCAGCCCAATTTCATGACTTGGGTACTGAGGCAGACAGCACTAATGTCCAGACCCATAAAATACTGAGGCCTATTGACCTCACTTCAGAACAGCAGGAACCTGGCAGAGAGCTGTAACCACTTTCCACAGATGTAAGTGGCAACGGAAGGTGCAGGACAATTAAATATTAGGAGTTTTTATTAACTTTCTATTTTTCTCCTTATTTAGATGTATGTACCCTTTTGAAAGTCCCTGCTGATCAAATAGAACTCCTATACCAAAATGTTCATCATAACAGTCTTACTTTTGTGAAATATGAGTATTTGGTAAACATTAGATAATGCTAACATAGCATATTACAGCAGTATGGAAACTTACATTAAGCAATCTTTCATAGCTGAAATCTGCAGTAACTAAAATGTACATACATATGTGGAGAGGCTTAGAAGTAATGTGTCTGACAAGTTTGTACTATTCAGTTCCTTAATCTTTTTATAATTTTTTTCTATCCTAAATACAAAAGGATATATAAAAGTAATTTCTAAATCCAGCTTAATACTGTGGACACTTGAAATCAACCTTTCTCTTATTTGTAGGTGGGCTGGTGATGTTTGAGATCACCTACCTCCCTCTCCTCTGGACAGGGCCTTTGTCTGTGATTTCTCAGGCAGAAGTTCTGGGTTGTCTGAAGAAGTCAGAGTCGTTGCTCATGCAGAAGTTTTCAGAGAAAACATTATTTGAGGGATATACTGACAGGGAAGTGTGAAGGAGTCTATTAGAACAAACTCTATTTGTTAATCCTATTCTACGAGTTTTATTTACCGCACAACTTGTTAGTTGTGCATTAGGGTTTTAATACACATAAAATAGTTAAAATAATTAAGGCTCTGTCCACATTCTAATTTGGAAATACAAATAGATGCAAGACTCACTTTTGTAATGTTGTTTCCTTTCTGTTTGCAGAAGTATTGTCAGCCATCATTAGTGTTTTGCTGGTCTATATCCTTATGGCATTCCTCTTGTATGAAGCTGTTCAAAGAACTATCCATATGGACTATGAAATAAATGGCGATATCATGCTGATTACAGCAGCTGTTGGTGTTGCAGTTAACTTAATGTAAGATCTCCCTTTCTCTCCATTAACACTCATAAATGTATTTCTGAATAAGCTGCTAATTCATTCATGGCCTGTAACTTTCTCATGGGATGTAATTTTGCTGGACCTCTTCATTTTCAAAAGTAAGACAAGAAATCATACTATTACTTTTTGAATTCTTTGGTTTAAAGGGAAAAAAAAAAAGCAACACAAAAAACCACCCACCAAACCCTAAAGCCTGTTTCTTGGAGTGTTTTTCTTCTTTCCCTTTCAGAATGGGTTTTTTGCTGAATCAATCTGGCCACCTTCACTCCCACTCCCATTCCCACCCTCACTCTCATGTACCTCAGTCGAACTCTCCTAACACAGCCCACAGCAGTAGCCATGGTCACAGCAGCCTTGCCGTGAGAGCAGCATTTGTACATGCCCTTGGGGACCTGGTACAAAGTATTGGTGTGCTTGTAGCTGCATACATCATACGCTTTAAGGTAAGGAATGGCTAGTCTTTGATGCAGGGGAGTATTTTTATTTTATTTCAACTCTGGTGATTAAATTAAATTAAAAAAAGGGACTTGTTTTTGTTACTAAAAATACTTTGTGATATTCTAAGTGTCATACATTCACGCAAAATAAGCAAAGACTATCTCTGTTACACATTTTGTAACTATTCAAACAGAAAGAAATATTCATGAAAGTTGGGTCTAGTAGTAACTGCATGTTCTGAGTCACATTTTTATAAGTAAGCCTATTTTCTTACATCCTTTAACACTTTGGAACTTCCCTTATAGCCAGAATACAAGATTGCTGATCCTATATGTACATATGTATTCTCCATACTGGTGGTTTTGACAACAGTTCGAATTCTGTGTGACACAGGAGTTATTATTCTGGAAGGTAAGATCTGCGCACAGTCTGCAGTACTTTACATGCCAAATACCCACAGTGAGCATTGGTAATTTTTTGACATAACAATTACCATATTTAACAAAGCAGATTGTGTCTGGAGACCTGTTTATCCTGCTGTTGCTTTAGTCTATAGATTCTTGATGGCTCATTTGAGTTGCAGCAGCGTTTAGGTGTCTTTGACCTCTGCCAGAATGACACAAGTCCTAGCTCTACTCACTCCATCTCCTGACCGTAAAGTGAAACGTATAGAACTTTCTTGTGCGTCTCAGTGGCTATCAGCTTAACTAAGTGGATATTTGCCCAGACTCAGTTACATGCTTTCACTTTAATTATAAAGTTAAAGTGAATGCGAATGCATGTAAAAGGAGGAAGCAAGTTCAGGCCAAATGGCTGGACAGGTGGTTCATGCCTGTCTTCCTCTTTTCCACAAGTGCTGTTGTATTTTTGTGTGCTTCTACTGTTACCATACAGGAAGCCACAAGCAGACAGTGGTGCAAAAAGGAAGAGGAAGAAGGAAAAAAAAAAAAAAAAAAAAAAAGAAGATTCTTCATCTTATGTTCTGCTTTTTATCTCATGTGGTGACTTACAGGGAAAGATGCCAGCAACATTCTTTGCATTGTTAACTATTACTGCTTGATCTAATGCTTTTACCTTATGAAAGTGAAAATATCAGGGACAGGAGAAAGATCCTAGGTTTAAGCTTCAACTTCTAGCTGTCTCATGTGAGCTATTATTAACTTTACTTTTATTATGTTATGAGGTTAAATCAAGGACCTCAAAATCTTCGTTGTCAAGTGCTTTTGCTGTCATTTAGGAGAAAAAATAAAAATCCCACAAAATGAAAGTTCACCAAGAAGGCAAAAATGGTGAAATTTGCTTAGGAAACATCAGTTAGCTCCAAGGCAATAGCTAAGATCTAGCTGAAGAAAACAGATAAGACAAAATAATGGTGTATCAGGTTCCAGATGTTTGAGTTGTAGCTGTATGCACAGGTATCCCAGTTGTCATAAAAATCTCCTAATTAATAGTGTTATTAAAAGTAATGATAGGTGGACTTTATGTATGCTAGGGAATTTTTCCAACTCCCATTCTCTGGAGATCCTGAATGTAAGTGCATTTATATTGGAGACTACTGTTACAACATCAGGGTCCTTGGAGTTGTATCAGCTTTCAGTATTAATTTTAACTTAAGTTTCATCATTATAATATGAATGCTAAGTTAAAAACTTAAATTATTATCTAATACAAAGAGATTTCAGCTTTTAATATAGATTTATAAGGCAGCATGGAAGTCTATCAATAGTAGGATGTGAGATATCAAAATTTAAGTCTATGTTTCCTGTGAAAGAGAAAGCTGTAGAAATAATACCAGGCAGTTAGCTAGTTAGTTATCAGCTAAATAATTTTCTGTTAATCTTCACTAGAAGGAAAATTTTGTTTACTATGAGACAATCCTAGACACTGAACTTTCAAAAGAGACGGTACTGGAACTAACATAATTTAAAAGACAGTAAGGCATCAAATTCAGAGAGGAGTCATCCAAAAATTCTGAGGAAATTTGAGAAGCAAGTGGCCGAACTCCTTGTAGTATATATAATCGAGTTCCATAAAACTGGAAGATAAGCAGTAAAAAGCTATGACAGAAACAAAACTATCCAGAAACAGAGTTTATTTAGTATTTTTGTACTAGTTTTTGAGCCACTGTTGATAACCTAAAATTTTGATTCTGCCTTTTGTACAGCTAAGGTGGAGTAGGGAAGCTATAGATATGCTGTAGCTGCTGAAAATGCTACATCCAGAAGGGCTTTGGTCAGTGCAATCAATGATTTGCCAAGATGCCACACTGTAAGACAAAAGTCGTATGTGTGAACCACTGCAGATGGATTAGTATGAGCATTTGAAAATGATACCAGTTACCTGAAGAGAGAATTTTCAGGAGACAGCAGGAGACAGGCCCTAGCATTATCTTTTTTATTATTTTTATAATTAATTTTTTTAGATTCTGACCTTAGAGTCTGGTCTAAGCAGTTACTAGGGGTTAGAAGCTGCAGTAAAAGTCTACACAAGTAGATCACTTTAAAGGATCTAATGCTGGCTATTGCCAGAGAGCAGATTCTGGACAGGACAAATTACATTTGAGACAACACTGCAATTCCTGTACAACTTCTGGATACAGAAGTTATCCACAATATGCCAATTTGCACATTCTTCTCTATTGACAACTTGGAAGTACTAATCACTTCCAACAGCACAAATGATAAGCTCTTTTGACGTTGAGAGCTGTCATGACATTTTAAAGGCCACTGAGAGTTTGCAGAAGACAGAATTAATTTTATCTCATGTTTGGTATCACAGGAGTTCCAAGGCATTTAAATGTGGATCGCATTAAGGAAGACTTGATGAAAATTGAAGACATCTATTCTATAGAAGATTTAAATGTTTGGTCTCTCACTGCAGGAAAAACAACTGCCATAGTCCACTTGCAACTAGGTAAGCTGCTGTGTAGCATAATTCTAGATTAAATCTAAGTGT